TTTTATTCAAATGATTCGAATGATTGAGGATAGAACAGAACAAGCTTAAGATTATTGCCCTTCTTCATCTAGTAGGATTCGATCAACGATGCCATCAAGTAGAAAGCTAGATATATTTAACGATTAAAAGAGTAACATTGATAAATTATAGTGAAATTCTGTTCTGAGTCCATTAGACTATGTTGGGTTTCGTTTTGAAAGCCTCCCAAAAATTTGCTTACACCACATTCGTCGGTAGGGAATCCCGGAATTCGACTATTCCTAAAGTGTAGACGGTGTGCATACAGTCCATTCTTCTATGTTGGATCTCGAAATTCTGGTTGTTTCCCCTGAGATTCGTGTTGAGATTGGACTTGACAAAGTAGTTAAGAAGATGAATGGGAGTATTTTGCATGCAAAAAGTCATTAAAAGGTCACCTGCAAGATGATTATACTCTGATGGATAGAGATTCAGAGATTGGAGACACTCTTCATAAGGCTTTGAAATGTTGAAAGTAAGTTTGTTTTCATCCGAACTACTATGAAGTCGAGTCAGATCACCTTGTAGTGTCTTCTCGCTTGCAAAATGCTCTGCAAAGCCTAACATTGTCACAAAACAGTGGTAAATTAGACTATACTTGTTAAGGAATGTGATTGGTTCAAAACAGAAAAAGAAGTGGTCTTGCCACTGATGTCCGGAGTCTCAACTTGAACATTGTGCAGCCTAAGAAAAGCAAATTGCACCCAAACCTTGAAAAGTCGATTATTTGGATGCGAAGTAAACCATTCTGTTAACCGTGACCTGATACCTAACAATAGGAGTATATTCATGAGACATATCAAAGTGATATTATCAAAAGCTTCTCAATAGTAAGACCACATAAGATTAACGTCTCCCTTACGTTCAAGCATGCTTGTCTATCTGTACATTGCGGTCAACAGGCTGTATAAAATGCTGAAGAGATCATTTCTGAAACCAGGTTGTTGGGGTGGGAAATTTGTGGACAACAAGTGGCCATGTTAACCGTCGTTTATCAAGGACTCCGCAAATTTTGATGGTATTGAGAGAAGTGGTACCGCATGGCAGTCGACTAATTTGTTGGTTACAACCTCACTCTTTATGCTACATTTGTTCTCAAAAATGTTTGTGAGCTTGTATTGGAGACCATTTATTGAAAATCAGCTATCGATATCTGACGTTATGATAAAAGGAAACACCTACTTCACCACCATTTATGATGATTAATTATACGCATTTTAATTAAATTGAAAACATACTCATCCTTATTTGCACCAATCTTGAAAGCACACTTTAAAGAAAGAACGAAGAAAGTGAGTAATAGTACTTGCAGAATTCACGCCAGTTTACAGGGGCATGATCAATTTGATATAAATAGTAACATTAGATGTACAGAGCAAACATGTGATAGAAGAAAGTTTTAAGTATACTAGTTCAGCAGTTGTTTAGGTAGTAACATGTATATTACAACCAATCAATACAACAGCCGGGAATATTTAATATTTCTTAAATGGACAGCCTGTTGATTAATGAACGGTGTAATTAAGGTCAATTCGTGTGCGAGATCGAATTAATGATAATTATCTATAACTAGAAAAATTAAAACGATAACAGAGAGCATGGAACAACAAAGTAGTAATTACCCAAATATATCAATCAGGTCTACCTAAATGAGTGTGTCATGTGACCCGGTGATATACTGTTGATGTTATTCAAATTAGTTAAACTTGCTAGGGATGGTGTTAACATGAAGTGACAGCAAGTAGGTGGTTTTATTTAGGGAATGCACTAATGAAAATGGCTAAACATTCAAAGTTCCTATAATACTACTTGTGGAATGAGATACACTTACAGGTGCCAGACCATTCAATGCATTTTCAGAGGAGCAGTATGCATCGATGCAGCGAATAAATAATGGGAGTGATTTTATCGTGCGGATAGATTGTAGTAGGATATTTCAGAGTTTATTTCATTTACAGGTGACGTAATTCATATAAATGGTAACAAAACAGTTTGGTTGATAAGAAAAGATAATGATACCAATATTTGACACGTTATAATGAGGATTGGACAAGTCATATTACAATTACAAGTGCACAGTACTTAAACTATTTGAACTCGTATGGTGATGATTACAGTGCAGTGACTTTGCTTCGTTAATGAACCATCTTTGTAATCGTTATAATTATAAATCTCAACGATGTTTGAAATCAGAATTCAATAAGAAGCGGATAGCACAAATCACAAAGCTACAAGCACATCAAACGAACTTGAAGCACAGAGGCGAATGTTTGCATGCAAGCGAATATAGAGACAAATTTACAGTCAAATCGAATAAGGCACAGCTAGGCAAGGCAAAGACTAATAATAGGACATGAGTACATATATACATGAAAAAGAGAATGAATCATGGAGCAATATTGAAACGTTCAACATTCGTAGCTAGTGTCTATCATATGACCAAGTGTACATGTTTACAGAGACAAGATAGTGATCATAATACTACAAATTATTATGCGATTTGTTACTGTTCAAATAACATTGTCTGTTAAATAAGTTAATAAAAGTTACTTACTTACGCCTGTTACTCCCAATGGAGCATAGGCCGCCGACCAGCATTCTCCAACCCACTCTGTCCTGGGACTTCCTTTCTAGTTAATTTTTCTCATGTCTGTTTCCATTTCTCAGCTTAATTTGTTATTTGATCTTCCTCTATTACTTTGGCCTTGTCTCGATGGTCCCAGGTGGGGTCTTGCCCTGTGACTCAGTTGGGTGCTTTCCTCAATGTGTGTCCTATCCACTTCCAGCACTTCTTCCTGATTTCATCCCCACTGGGATCTGGTTTATTCTCTCCCACAGTAGGTTGTTGCTAATAGTGTCTGGCCAACTGAAAGAAAGAAAAATTCATACTAAATAGCTGTGAGTAGTGACATTTGTCAGTAGCAGCTAAGAGATGACAAATTCAAGTTCATATTTGTGTGGTGAATTTCGAGATTTAGTCAAGATGTAATGCATTTATTTATTATTATTTATGTGAACACATAAATACTGGTGCAGAGGAGCAACCAATACATATGCGTCACACAAGCCACTTGATTTGTATGTCGGCTGTGATACTACCCGGGTGCCCAGGCCAAAGCAGGTGGATTTCTTGGGAGGTAACACCCGGAGCCTTCAACCTAAAGGTGTGATCCACAAGGCAGTGTAGCTACGTATCGTCCATTGGAAGCAACTAAATAAATATGGAAATATAAACTTCTGAAGTGACCTTATGGGACAGAATATTTTATCAAAATATGGGGGCGATAACAACAATAAATAGTTAAAATGGAAATTGACGATGAAACCGCATCAACAGGCTAATTTGTTTAAGATTCATTACATTTCAGTGGCAACGTCTCTAATTGTGAGGTTGGTAGACACCGAATCAAAAGCATCACTCTCCTCAAGACTACAGTTACAGCTTTCTCACTACGGCGTATTCACATGAAAGCTAGGTTCAGGTTTTCTCAACGACTTCCTTCATCAATCACATTACATAAATACGTATATACTGATAGTGCACAAGATGTGTCGATTCCGACCACAAAAACTAATCGTAGTGTTAAAAAGAGAAATATGTGAACATCACTAATGTTTTGATGGTGTCTCAATTAACGTCATTACTCTGTACAGGCTTCATCCAACTACTGAGCACATCAAAGCGGCAATATCATTCTCACTCAATGGTGCTATCACTTATTCACTTATTATGGACAAACAGTCAAATGAGTCTGTTTTATTTCTAATCGAATCACTTATTCCGTTGTTCTGTGCAAAGTTAACTTAACCAAAGTTCAGTGAAAAAAGTAACCACTCATAAGTTAACAAAGTTGAATCAAAGTAATTGGTGAATTCCGTTATAAATTCGTTTAATTTTATTGAACCATTTTTACTGTGAACATCAGAATCATTCCATGTGAGTTTGTTAATTTATATAGAATGGTGTGAATTCGGCATGAGTTTAGATTTGTTGATAAGTTGTTCTATAAGTAGCAATAATAACAGTTCAGTTTAATGTTATATTATAACTAGAATATAGTACACTCAGCATAAATGATTCTAGCTAGTTTCTATTACAAACACGAAAGACATTCTTATAGATTCCCATGTTTTGGTGCCTCATTCTCCCAGATTTACAGGATGGAGAATATGAATGAAATGGATGGTAAATATTTGGAAAGACATCACATGTCGGCATTTTGCAAGATTTTCAATGTCTATCAACAACCGTGTTCGTGATCATCTCGAAAGACTCACCACACACTCTACTCGCTGCCTTCATTACACTTTATAATACGACAAAATCTTTTCTGAAAATCACAGGAGAAAATAATCGAAAAAAACATACTTCTGTTGAGTTTTGTTTATTGACATGAATAAATTAATCAATGTTAACTATCTTCACTGGAGTGGGTGTATTAACGTTGATGATTCCAAAACACCGTATGCCATAAGCAGCTAACATGAATCTAATGAGATGAATTATCATCGACCGTCGAACTTTCCTATTAATCCCTTAAAGATGATAAGGCAAACTATTCAGATGAAATTCAAATTCTGTCGCTGAATCCATACCTGTTGAAAGACAATGAATAAGGAAGAAATAGGCATGTGAATGGATAGTTAAGGTTTAATGTAAACCATGAAATTAATTATCTCCATTACTGTATTGTGAAATCGGTCTTGGTTATGAATCTCGTAATGATGATACATACAGCAAACTAGTCAGATAAAAGTCAAATCCTGTACATGAATCCATAACTGTTGAAATACAATGAAAAAAGAAAGGAATAGGCATGAGAATGAAAACTGAAGGTTTTACGTAATCCATTAAATTGATTATTTCCATTACTGTAATGTGAATTCTTACTTATTTCAGTAAACGTTAGAATTGGTGATTGTGGAAGGTGAATTTCCAAAGGTGAATTATCCACAAATCTCCATTGCAGATAGTTCAAAGATGATGAAATTCGAATTTGATAATTTGTCAAATGAAACCAGTCAGAATAATTCTATTTGCATGTAAGACATTTTTCATTCCATTTGACAGATTCAGCTTTACTCAGTATACAGAACCAGTTGTTCTCAGTGGTCTCATATTAACGTAAGTAATATATGTTTATAACATACGTATTCCCCGAGAATCATAACGACAATTTCCCATGTATTACTATTACGTATCATTCATTGAACCGATTAATACACTGTTATAAATAATTTGACCCGTGTTTGACAAGAATGTTATGATTGAGGAACAGCAAACTAGTTTGTTTAGTTTCCAGTACAAACAACTCTCATTTTTTGTTACATCACATCACAATAAATGACCATACTGAAATATCTTTAGGTATTTATTTGAATTCATAAATATTGGTACAAATGGTCAGCGAATACATATACGACACACAAGTGAGGTGTGATACTGTCCGAGTGACCAGATCGAAGCAAGCGGTTTTCTTACGGAGTAACACTCGGAGCCCTCGACTAAAACGCTTGATACACAAGTCAGTGGAGCAACGTCAGAAGATGCAGTCTCACGGTAGCCAGTGGACAACAATAGTTTCACATGCCATTTCTTCCCACAGTATCCTGGAGCCATGTGCATCATTCGTTTGTAGTCAGTGTTTTCCAACTCCCCCAAAAAGATTCTCCGTGTCCACTAATCAGGTTGAAGCGCTGGACATTCGCTTTCTGTTTTCTCAATTTTGAAAACAACAAACCAGCCATGAGAGGGAAGTGAGTAGGACTTTTCTGGCAGTGGCTTTATACGCGTGTCCATCTGAGAGAATTTCGAGATAGAGACCTATTTCTCCTCAATCTCGGCCATACCAAGGCATTTTCAAGATGAAATAAGATATTCAAGACGACCAATCATTAAGTATTCCAATCTTTGTTTATTTTGACAAGTTTCATAAACTTTTGAAAATGTCGAACTGAGACAATGAGAAACTTGTTCAACCATTTCATACATACAGATTAGGTAGAACACCTGATGCACATCTCTATGGCCTATTGTATATGTGAGTTTAGTATGTTGTACATTTCTCTCTTTTGTTCTTCAGATTTATCGGATTAGTTCTTGGATTAATAATAATATTTATTAAAAATCTACATACTAAATCCACAATGAACACAATCGTCATCGTGATAACGGTCAGTTGATTATGATATTAAAATTACATTCATGGTATTTTCATTCAACCATCGATTGAATTTATTGTAGCTTTGTTTGTTGAATAATGTAAATATTGTCATGTTAGTTTGATAACGGTGATCGAGATAAAAGAATGTTTGAAGGTTGACTTGAACAGATGATTTTCGATGTTGAATTTTAAGATCTTAATATGTTTGGAGATCCAGTTTCTATAGTTTCACTGATTTCATTGGTGATCCGTTCGTTTATGGGCTATTACTTAACTGGTAACTCGTGAAAATAATATAACATTAAATGGTGTTCGTTCATGTTATTAGATAATTCAGAAATATGTGGACGTGGATACACGTGATACCGATACATTTCACTCTCACCTACGTTTGTTGATATTACCATTTGTAAGATGTGGAATGGGCTGTAAACACAGAACAACTAAACGAATTGGATTTGTGTCATTTTAATTTGTGTAATCGTCCACACACTTTATCTGCCACTGAACTTGTGTTTAATGATACACGAGTCATCATTTGGTGCATCAAGTTGCAGTCACCACTAGCTGTCGTGGTTCTCGGTTTACCCAAGTTAATAGAATTCACACACTATAGGTAATAAATCTCGCAAAACATGTTCATGTGCACTGATTGAGCGAATTAGCTTTGAAACTACTTCATGTTCGTCAATATGATAGACTTGGATAAGCATTCCTTGCCATGTGCTTGTATCTATAAGTATTCATTTCTAAGCATTTCAATCGAATGCAGGACAGTGAAGATTATTCTTTCATTATTTCTTTAATTGCTGACCGATTCATCTTCTGAAATAATAGTAATTTGACACTACTTTTTCAATATTCAGATGGTCTTTATTATTGTCGGTGTTGTATTACTTATGTCGGTTGGAGAATGGTACGAACAAATTATTTCTGTATCTATAGCTACCGCGATCTTCATCATGGCCATTTTGCTGGATATAAAGCTACAAGGTTCAAAAATGAAATGGATGATAATCTTGTTCACATTGTGTTGCGTATTTGCTGTAACTGGATTGATTTTCTTTGTTTTCGGTGTGATATATGGAAGCGTAAGTTGATTTAATCAAAGATTTCCACATTCCACAAGTGGTTTTCTTGAAAAGCTACAGTTGTCCTAATGAAATGTTGCCGATAATGAATATCGATGAAACGTTTCCAACATTGAAATAGAAATACATCTTCAATTCATATTTCATTGAGGAATATTCCAAACAAATCTTTGTTTTCTAATACATGTTTGGCTGCGTTGAACGTTTATTCACATCATATCGCCGCAATAGTAAATTTAACAGTGTTTTCAGAAGGGGTTTGTGGAGTTTATTTTTTGGAAATTTTCACACATTGAAATCATGAGTCAGTTGAAGCTAGACCACCATTGGAAACCTGGAAGCATTGGACGGCCGTTTCGTTCAAGTATGGGACTCCTCAGCAGTGCTCATCCACGGTCCCGCATCCCGCGGGATTCGAACCTAACAACAGTGTTTGCATCATCATATATTCATCACGTATAAATTGCTTAATTAATCCAGTTTCCTTTACACATGGATTAAAACTGGTAAACGTCAGCAATCTGATGTGGAGTTTACACTGCACGCTGTTAATACAAAGCATCATGAAATAATGTTATAATTTGAGAAATTAATTCTCAATACTACCTATATATTATGATTGTCTAACAAAATGATAATTACAGTCAAAACCACCAACAGTACATCTTCAAGCAACGATTTCATATTCGTGGAATACGTAGCTTGAATGTTTCGTGATACAGTCTTTGACGAAACTAATTCGTTGTTTAGAAACCTGTCAAGCATGAGACAGAGTGATTACATGATGTGCGAATTCAGAATAACAGCCTGATCGGTCTCATACATGAATTGGTACATAATAGTTTAAAATTGGTAGAGTTAATTAATAAAGTAATACTGTTTATCCACTGATACTTATGTAGATCTGTGATGAAGTTGGGTGAATTGTTTTCTTTTCTTTATTTTAGAAAGGTTTACTAGGTGCAACCTTGGTTTGTTGGTGCGGCGAAATGTTAATTGTAAGTTCCGAATAAATAATCGAATTCCAGTACAAATAACCGTTCATTGATTATTATGCATTCAAAGATATCGTTCTGTTTAAATCAGAACTTTGAAGCATTAGTGTCTACTATTCACAACATTCATAACCATTCATCACGAAACATTTTGAAGCAAACACAACGAGATGCCAAGCTGAATCGCTGAAAGAGAGGCATTGAGTTGCTGAACGGCTCAATCTATATGATGCTTTGTTATAAAAACGATCATCTGTCAATATTTGACGGGTCAAAATACAAGGCGCTTACTGTTCATTTGTTATGTATGAGTGTTCAGAAATTACTAAATGTGTAACTCTAAGTCATTAAATGCCTAATATTTCACTGATACACATATTGATACGAATGCATCGATAACGAAGTATTGATCTACGTTTTCATAATTACAGGTGGTTACCTGCACAAAATATTATCTGGACAGCTATCGCAAATCACGACAGTTTTCCACACTGTACTGTGTTTTCCTATTGATGTATGAATACATTGTACTTGTCATCAGTTTAATATTCTCTTTGAATTCAGTCATCGATTGTAATTGGAATAACAAGACAATGATTAGACACGATGAACAGATCCTGTTCCATTGAATGTTTTAATCAGTTCACAGATATTTAGGTGGAATATTTTGAAGATTATTGCAAACTGCTTTGTTATTCATAATAGACGTTCTATTAAATAGACATTTGTTTGTTGAATTAGATGTTTGGATTGAAAATATTCGCTTAAAATGTAAACAGACATTACAGACAAATACTTTTTATACAGCTAGGACTACCGTGAATATTGACCAATAGGAAAATGACGTGTGAAATAAATATTGACCAATAGTGAAATGTTACCATTTCACGTTCAAGGATAGCATTAGACTTAACAGGATAATTTTTGGGATATTTTTATGAATATCTCAATACATCCTTTTGGAAACGTTAATAGCGACGTAACCGAGAGTTTACTTGAAATTTCTTTGGTTATCTTCGCTTGCGATTCGACCTCCAAAGTAACCACCCAGAAACAGAGGGATGTTCTACCAGAGTAGGTGACTCAGTTTTCTCTGTTTTAAGTATTGCGGAAGTTGAAAAGTATCCAACAGCTAGTCGAGTGGGACGCGTTTCATAATTGATTCTTTCTCCCTAGCTTTCCTTGGCCTTAGTTGATTCTGGTGCCTGATACAGATATCTTGGTTCACCTTGACATCATATATGACGTTCTCATGTTTCCTTGTGACTTCAACGTCTACCCATCTATCACATCCGTGTCTATAGTCCCGTGCATATGTAGAACTATGGTCTACTATGATATTAGTACTGCTCTAATAATAGACCTAATCCTAAATTTGTCATGATATAACTGCCTAATCTATAAGATCTTACGTGGAAGTCACACCATCGACTACGCCAACTCACTGTATCGTATCAATTACCAATACATGATGTAGAACAACGTTAGGCTAGAGAAGGAACAATATATTTAATACGAATAGAAGATATAAGATAACATTCAGATGGACCACGCCTGCATGGCCGAGCCATGCCATCCGATTAAACCCAGTCCATTCAATTCATTGTTCGCGCCTTCTCCATTGTTAGGTATTTCTCCGCGTTAAATATTGAATATCTATTTTCTGAGTAGTCTCGTGTTCACAGCTTTGTGGATTGTGTGGCTATTGTCCAATGCCACTACACTACTCTCCCACCAGAATCAACGTGATGTTGGTTCGATACCAAATTGGATGGGATCGTCGCGCGCCGGAGGTTACCAAGGATAATAAGAATCCTCCGGGTATTGGTAAGCTGAAAGATAAATCAAAAAGAAAGCGGCAGCATCTGGTCGGGAAATACATGTAATAATTTTTAAAAAATCTGCCTTCATGCTTAACACGCTTAAAATGAAAATTTGGGTGAAGATTATTTGAGCTATAAAAAATGGGACTACAATAATAATAATAATAATAAAGTGATGCGTGTTAATAGCCGTTGGTTAGTAACTTGACGTATAGGTAGTAATTATTTTGTGTTTAGAAATATTAAAGTAATGAATATTGTAGAAATGTTGATATTGGTATTAGTTTTGGTTTAAATTATAAAATCAAATAACGTTCATGCTAGTAAGTTGTCCATGAGTTGATTTTCAATTGCATTTGTATTAGTAGGCTAACTGAAAGAACAAAAGTATTACCGTGGAGAAGAATTCCAACTAGTGTTCCAGTTAGTTTGATACGGTTTATTTAGTTACGGGGAGATTTTCTCAACCTCATTTTTACTTGACCGTGATAGAATTTAGTAATACTACTAATACACATGAATGGTTATCAAAACAAAATTTAAATACGTAAGTGATAATTATATGAGTTTTGGACAGATAGCTAAGAACAAATCGTTAAACATGAGTGTATTCGTAAGAGACATGCTCTAGACTCAATGTTCTGAGTTGCCATAGTCTATTTATACATATTTATACCTGACGGCTGATGACGCATACAAGTTAGTTGCAAGTATGCAGTTTATCATAAGGCGGAATACGATTTAATTGAGATATAGTGGTTATAAGTTATTGAAATCAGCTTATGTGTCACATTACTAGGTGCTGCAAGATGTATTTGGCTAAATAAGTTTTTACAAGATGATTAATAGTGAGTGATGCTCATGTGATTATCAGGGAGAACATAAGTTGTAACCAAGGGGAGTACACTCCCAACTCATGTCTATGATAATGGCTTGAACCTTAGTCAGTGTTGGGGTAAATTCGACATTGATGTTTTCAGTTTGCAGGAGATTTGCTCGACTGCTTATACTGATTATTTGCATGCATGATTGTGTCGCTAAACCATCAATTAGACTGACAAGGTTTTGAGATATTTACTGAATGAGCAACTGATAGAGAAACATACTGTAATCATCTGTAGTGAATGAAGATAAAAGAAAAACAACACTAGTGATAATTATAAGTCAATTTGCTGACCGATTTTGTTAATAGTTTCATTAATTTTATCAATCATATTACGTGATTGTCAAGTCATGACAATGCTTTATGACGATATCCTGAAACTATTAATTTAACTAGTTATAGTGTTGATTGAGGATTAGTCAGTGGAAAAATAGGTATTGTTGCTTTAGGTGATTCGAAATTATCAGAAATTTATAACGTTAAAGAATCCGAGACGCCTAATTTAATTATAAATTTCAATTCAGAAATATTCGTTTAGTGTTAATTCTAGTAGGCTACGGAGTTTTGATTTTAAACGTTTGTTTAGCCAACAGCTACCTGGGGATTTAGTTATTTTACTAGTGCAGTTGATAGTACCTAAATTTTTAATCTTATTATCTAAACTATGTTCGCATTTTAGGCTGCTAATATGATAAACTAATCCATAAACCCAAATACGATTAGCAACAACGACTATGATGGGTTTATTGATAAATGTTAAAGGTGATTCAAATGATTTCTAAATTTAGAAGACATGAAGATATAGTGCAACGCATGTATGGGCCAGGTTAACATGCAGGTTGTTGACGTATATGACAATTTGAAAATAATGAACATGATGAGAAAGATAATTTTAAAGTTAAGACTGCTTATGAAACTTCAGGCAAGAATATGACGCGTTATAAACATTCCGTAAGAAGTTAATGCATTTAGCCTAGGGACACTTACAAATATATGGCAAAAGCAACTAGAAAACATATACATGTTAAGTACAAAAATCATTAAGTAAAATAGTTGAACTCGCCTGGGTTATTTTTGAAAATTAGATTACTCAGTGGACGACATATATAACGCCATTCGTGAGTAGTAGTGATCCAAAAGCATCCAGAATAAAACATGCAGTATGGCAATGACTTCCAGGGTGCTTGATGCTGTCGAGGTTTTTGGGACTCACTCTGATCAGAACAACTGAATGAATCCAGATAATTGTGTGTGCCATTGAATGAGCCATCTAAAATGAACTTATGATTGCAGAAAACTTATAGCTGGAACTCACCGTATTTTTTTGGAGAAGTGTCACCCTTGTTGTTTGGCAATGGAACTCGAGAATATGAAATTAGGCAGGCAGTGGTCGGAAGAAAAGATATTACAGGATAGTGCATAGTTTAAAACAGGACGAGGTGTTAAGCGAAGGAACACTAAGATTAGATCCAGATAACTATTCAATCCTTGATTGCATTGTTAGTCAATGTATATTTACGCTATTAACAGGTCATATTTGCTAGAGCTTGATGTTTAAACAAGTCTATGTCGCTGAAGCAGGTAATAGCTATTAAAGCTTGTTAACGAACCATCAAAGCTAATTAGTTGATATAGATGATCAACTTTTATCATCGATTGAGCTAGTAAGTTATGTAAACTAATAGATATAACATTACGATAATATATGTGACCATTAATCAAAGGACTATTAGAATACTGGGTTTACAAAAATAAAAACCGATTGAGAAGGTTAAGGTGGAAATAAGGATTAACAATAATAGGTTGCGTTTCTTTAGTTGGGCTCACCAATGTAGAACTATGGTCTACTATGATATTAGTACTGCTCTAATAATAGACCTAATCCTAAATTTGTCATGATATAACTGCCTAATCTATAAGATCTTACGTGGAAGTCACACCATCGACTACGCCAACTCACTGTATCGTATCAATTACCAATACATGATGTAGAACAACGTTAGGCTAGAGAAGGAACAATATATTTAATACGAATAGAAGATATAAGATAACATTCAGATGGACCACGCCTGCATGGCCGAGCCATGCCATCCGATTAAACCCAGTCCATTCAATTCATTGTTCGCGCCTTCTCCATTGTTAGGTATTTCCCCGCGTTAAATATTGAATATCTATTTTCTGAGTAGTCTCGTGTTCACAGCTTTGTGGATTGTGTGGCTATTGTCCAATGCCACTACACATACACTTTCGCACCAACTTCGTAAGGAATTCGCGTAATCTGCATCTGGGGGCTTTGCTGGGCCACTTGTTCGGGTGTCATCAAACTACGAACTGTTCGTAGCTTTCGCTCCATAGGCATCTCAGCAGGGGATTGGAAGTTTGGCAATAAGTCATGTGAGGTTGTCCGGTACACAACTAGAAATCGTTCTATGATATCTCCTGCGGTCCCCTCAACTCGTGCTTTAAGCATGGCTCGTTTAAACATATCAACGAACCTTTCAGCTTGTTTATTAGATTGCGGATGATATGGCGTAAAACAGGCATGGTTGATCGAGGTTTGCAGGCGAAATTCTCAGAATTGGCTAGATGTGAACTGTGAACCACTGTCTATTACTATTGTTTCTGGAAGACCATGCTGAGCGAAGATCTGATTACGGAGTTTGATGGTTCGAGTTGTAGCGAGTAGCGCAACTGGCAAAAGCTCTGGCCATTTGGGGTAGGAGTCAACCAGTATCAGATATGTGGTACTATCTAGGGTTCCGGTGAAGTCAATATGCACTCGCGACCATGGATTTTCTGACTTTGGCCAGGGTACTGCAGGCATGTTAGGGGGATTTTTCGCAGCTGTGTGACAATGTGAACATCTTTTGACGAAGTTCAAAATCTGCTTGTCCATGTTCGGCCAATATGCATAGCTGCGAGC